GGGAGCACACATTCAGGGTCACGTTCTAACTGCCTGCAGAGCTGTGCTCTCTGTTGCAGCCACGGTATCTCCCACAGTGTCTCCTGTTTTGACCTGAGCTTTCTGGTCCTCCCAGAGCTGGCCTGGTGTCCTGCCCCAGTCGGGCTGCAGTCCCAGGCACTGTCTCAGCTCAAGGCCCAGGACACAGGACCCTGGTCCCAGAGAAGATCTTCTGTCCCACACTTCCTTCCCTTCTAGAAGACCCCTATCTTCTAGAAATAATGGTCCCTAAAAACTGGGATTCAGCCATCATTTTCTCATGGGAAACCAAGTTTAGACTTGCTTCATCTAGTGAGATCACATAAACTTAATAAAGTGGCTGCTGTCACTTGTCAACATGTAGCTCTGGGGAAATTGTGCTTTATTTGTAACGTGCTCTCAGCTTCCTCCTAGGGCTCCTGCTCTGGTCAGTGAGACACTGGAGGACAATGTGTGGCATCTGTGAGGCTGTCTTCTTTTGTCCCCTCCTTCCTCAGATCCTGTGCCCCTTGCCCAGATCCGGACCACGTCAGTGTCCATCACGCCCAGCTGGTGCAATGTCACTCTGGAGTGTGGGGCCCGAGAGGCTGTAGAGGTCCTGAGTGTAACTTGGGAGGTCCAGGGTCCCCCCAGTGAGCTGGAGCAGAGAGGGGCACCAGGACCCCCCAACCCCTGGATCTTGGCCCTGAGCCTGCCACTGAGGCAGCCCAATGTCAGCCTCACCTGCGTCCTCAGAAACCCAGTGGACCAGAAAAATGCCAACTTACAGCTCATTGACCTCTGTAGCCCAGATGAGTGCACCTGCAGGAGGGAGGGGCACAGGGAGGGGCTCAGGTGGCACTGGAGCCCCAGAGTCCCTGGCTTTTTTGCTGCTGTGTTTATGAACAGCACTGCCTTCCCTTGGTCACTCCAATCCAGAAGTGTGGGGTGGCATCCAGCTCACAACTGTCTTTAAATATCCCTCACCTCCAGGCCCTTCCCCCTGGGCCAGGGGCAGCCTTCCAGGACCTGTCCCACCCCGTCTCCATGCCCTGTGTCCAGAGTAGTCTTTGGAAACACAGATCAGATTGTGGCCTTTGTCTGGATATGGGTCAACCTCTACTGCAGTGAGGTCCTTCACCTGGTGACTGAGAGCTTCTGTCTCTTCCTGGTGATGACTTGTGCACAGACCCCACCTTGCTCATCCCTGTCTCCCCTGCACATGAAGGACCTGGGCCACTGCTTGAATGAGTGGACCTGCCACACCCTCCCTCTGTGGCTTTTGCACAAGGCCCCTTCCAACCTTTCTCCATCCTCTCTCTGTCTCCCTTGTCGCTGTGAACCTCGTCTTCTCTCTGCCTTAACGTGTTTCACTCTCTCCTTGGGAGGGAAACAGACTCACATGGAGAGCACC